ACAGACAAAGATATCTCGATAATCAACGCACGAGTTTACGGTGAAATAAGTTTCCTTCCGATACCTTTTCCATTAAGTCAGCCTGATGTATGCAAGGATCCTAATGCTGGGATCAAATGTCCTTTACATAAGGATCAAGAATATCATTATACGACCACGATGTTCCTGCAGAAGAGTTTCCCTTCGGTAAATAACCTTACATATAAACTTCAAATTTACCTTCGATAAAATTTAAATTTTATATGCTATATATATTTCAATTTCTCTAAGAGATTTGGTTTAGATTTTATTGATATTGGAATATAATTTATACGCACGCACATGCCGCACATGCACGCGCGCGCGCGCACGCACACAAAACATATATATATATATATATATATATAGAGAGAGGAATTTTTTAATTTAATTGATATCTTTTGAACGACTAATTAAGTTCTATTTTATTAATTAAAAATTTATTTTCTTTATCTTCAATTTATTAAAAATTCTAATTAAGCCGTTAAGAATATCTTTTATATGTAATAAAGTCTTTAGATTTATGTGTTCGATTAATAATTTTTAATTTTTATTATGTTGTAGGTAAATGTCAAGATTAAGTGGGAGTTTGTGAATGAGAACAATGAAAAAATAGTGTGCATAGAATTTCCAGCCAAAATTAAGTGATTCAAAGGATATCTCAACGAATGGAAAATATAAAAAAATGAAGATTTTATTTTGATAGAGATATGAAAGTGCCAATTTTTAATTAAATATTTTGACATAAATTTAATATGTAATATTTAACTTCAAATATTGCCATATCAAAGCATATTAATATGAAAAAATGATGAGAAAAATAAATATAAAAATATAAATAAATTTAAAAAGAACATTTTGGTATATATGCTTGTATATATTTTAAATATCTTACTTTAATTTTTTAAAATATTTATAAACGATTTAGAATCTCAATAAATAAGTAATACATTATTTCGTGTTTTATTTAGCACTTTATTAGATATTTTTCCTTGTAAAATATACTAATTTGATAATTTTCTTTTGTAAACTTTCTTTCATTTCAATTCAGTTTACAAAACTTGCTTTAAAACAGTTATAAACAATAAGATAAAATTTTCAGTTAATGAATAATTAATTCATTTAATCAAATTAAATGTTATCATTCTATTGAAATATTAGTAATTCAAATTTAACACAGTTGTTTTTTCCGCTGCACTATATATATCTTCTGCAGTCAAAATGAGTAAAGAATAAGAAAAATAAAATAAAATAAAAATTAGCAGATGCAGGGAGATAAAAAAGAAAAATATTTTCGTTCGTTGGATCTAAAATGGAACCTTGGTAACTTCAGTTTTCTCTCTACTTTCTATAAATTATCATCAACTATTTATTGTGTTCTCAACCTTGTCTTGCGATCGATTGTCCATTTCAATCTGATGAATTGTTCGCTTACTACGTTGAATTTCCGAACTTTGTTGTTCATTTCTCAGTATCTTCTCTGCCTGATAGATAGGTTCATATTCTCTTAGTTGAATCATAAAACCTTCGTTCGGATTTATGCAAAATCTTCTTTGTTGTACCATCGAATATGCATGCCTAAAACAAATATTTTTCGATATTATAATTTCAGTAAACAGAAGTGTGAGAATTATCGAATATGTAAAATAAATGTATAATTCTGTAATTCAGATAAAAACATTGTTATTTATAGAAAAAAATTTACATTTGTGAAAGTTCGTATGTTTCCATAACATATGCCAAGACCAACGCGGCAGATCTCGAAATACCAGCATTTCCATGAATCAGAACTCGACCACCTAAATTTAAGGCTTCATCAATGAATGCTTTTACCTTTTTGAAATGTTGAATGATATTTTCCGTTATTGTGTCAGCGATCTCCAAGACTAAGTATCTATAGAAAATAAGTATATAAATTATAATTAATAAATATAAATCCATAAAGAGAGAAATTAAAGACACATTGATTCAAGATTAATTAAATTTTAAATTGGTATATTACTAAAATCATTATGAATCTAATTGTAAAATTGAAACAAAATAAAATTAATAATTAAAAATATTAAGAAAATCAGAAATAAGAACTTTTTCAAGTTCTTAAACTCGTTCTCTTTTTTGTTAAGCCACTATATATAAGCTGTTGTAATTAAAATCACATACTTGAAGCTGTTGGGAAAGTTTGGCTTTATAAGATTTGCCTCAATAGCGTGCCTGACACAAACTATATGTGTTATTCCATGATCAAGCAAAGATTGCAATTTAGAGCGACTGGCAGCACTATATGGACCAAGAAACACACCAGGTACCACTTCCTATAATACAAAGTACAGACAGTGTATATTAAATAAATGATATATAATTTTTTAAAAATAATAAGCAAGAAAATTAAATATACTAATTTCTTACTAATATACAAACTATATAAAATTATAACTCGAAAAGAAACTTTTTTAGATCGATATTCATACACACGATATTTGTTTATCAATAGAATTAACAGATTATTGCTGATAAAGTTTGGTCAAACATTTTGTATACAATCTTATTAATTTGATATAATCACCTGCATGTTTCTTCTCATTGTATAAGTCCATTCTTTAGGTCTCTCTATCCAGGGGATATTAGGAATTTCTGGGCAGTCATGGTCAGATTCTGATTCATTGCCTCCTCCATTGTCTTTCTAGAAGCAATTAATATATTCATTCTTTTAAAAGGCTATGAAAATCATTCATATATTTTGTATTTTTTTATATATTAAAAATATATTTTTTCTTAGAAAATTTTCAGGAAAATTTAAGCTAAAAATTTTGCAAACTTCTAAAGGTTTGTATTAGCAAAAATTTTAAGAGAAAGAATTAAATTTATTTGAACTTTTAATATTAATGATACACAATTTTTTGTAAAAATAATAAAAAAATAATAAGTAATATAAATTATAGACTATCAGAAGTATTATAAGATATAAGAAAACATTATGCAAGAGCAATAGGTCTATCTTCTAAGTCGCAGTATTTTTGTTATTGTGTATATAAGTTGAACATACAAATCCGTCCATTCTCGGGAGAAAATCAGAATCAAAGATATGAGATCCATTCAAAATAGGACAAATCTGGTGTCATTGCTAAATCCTAGTATTTTGCACGTCCCCGCTTGATTATCGCTGTTTCAATTGTTGCATAGTCTATACGGTGAGCGTATAATTTTGCCCCACTGACTCTCGTAATCCAACGACGGATGTTGCTCTTTATTGATTTATTTATCTCTTCTCGCAGATATACTTGTTGTTAAACGAACGCTCGAGTTTTTAATCGTCATTATCTATTAAGAGCTACGCAATGATGCAGGAATACATGACTTCATAACCTATCATCATATTATGTATACATATGTGTATACGTATGTTGCAAATGTACATCACAGAGAAAAGAGAGAGAGAGAGAGAGAGAGAGAGAGAAAACAAAGAAGTCTAAAATAGCCAGAGATAGCCTGAGATCTGATGGGCAGTGTTTTAAATGAAACTCGTCTACTGGCGCCTCTGTATGCATAAAGCGTAGAACTATGTAGCCATGGATACATCCGGCGGGTAACATATTCATATTTTTTATCTTTGAGAGCTTCCAGCAAGAAATACAAAAGAGTCATCCTGGCCTTTGATATCAGAAAAAAATAAAGATAAAATAACTCTTGAGTTGATTTATGTATCTGTTGGAAAGTTCTCTTTGTTACCTACCATTATTTATATTAGCGGTTGATACTAACTGTGATACTACTCTAATCTGTCGATTAATTAATACTGATTGATACCAGAGAGCGCAAACAGTCCCGTCGTTATATAATTGTACGCATATCACGGGGAAAAAATCAGTTTGATATGATAAAGAAAGGGAAGTTATAAACCTCTCTATTATTCAGAAAACTATAATTATTTGTTTGTTTTTATTAGAAACATTTTAAATATTTATTTTGTTTGTTTTATTATTTATTATAATAACTGTAGAAGGCTTGTAATAGAGAAAGAGATATATAATCACCAGATTACAAATTGTAATAGTAACACATTATATTAATATTATAATTTTTTACTTAATATAAATGTGAAATAATACATGTTGTATTAATAGTTATATTATTGAATAAAATTAAAAACGTAAAAATAATAATAATATAAAATTCGAAAAGAATAAAATTAACAATAATAGATTGGAAAGGCTACAAGCCAAACAATATAATATTCAAAATATAAAAATAATAAACAGATGTTTTGATAACGATCAAGTCATTATTAATTAATGTTAAGCGAATTTAAATTATAATATAAAAATAGTAGTTATACGTACAAATTTTATAGTTAGGTAAAACATAAAAATATAAAAAAAATATGACAAATTACTCTCTTCTATCCAACAAATTTATGTGCTCGATGATTCAGACGGACAAACGTGATTCAGCATTGTACAACCGAATTAATAGTCATATTGACAATAATAATTATTCGGTGTTCTGATGGGTAGATTTTTTTTTGTATAAATTATATTGTATAAATTATATTCTTGATCAATGTGAATCAAACGATAAAAACACAGTTCAAATTCAGTCTCAATAGAAATAGAAATGAAGCAATACTGCGATAGAGATCAGAGTGTAAAAATGTTTTCAAATCTATTTCAAGAGATGTTATAAATTCATAAAATCAATTAATTAGTAACATAACTTAATTTTTTTTATCGCACAGTTCTTTATGGATGTTTTATACATATTTTCAAAACGATAATAAAATTATGAAAAAATTACAGATTATTCTAAATCATGTTTAAAAATAATACGACAAATTTGATGGCGGTTTACTATCTGAACCATAAGTTATTCTAATAAATAATAGTATTTTTTAAATCTGTGCTCTAATAAAAATATATGGAAATGTATTATAAAATTAATGATAAAAATCTCAATTTTTTAGTACATTATATATTGAGATTATTTATGTAGAATTACATTGCGATACATGAACTAATTTTTCAGTAAATAAACAAAATATTTATTTGTTCTACATCTTTGTAACTAAATTCAATAAATCGCAATGAAACTTTGCATAGATTATTTTGAATGTTTGAAGTACTTATAAAAGAAAAATGTAAATTTTCTAATTATTTAAAAAAATTTTCATTTTTAACAATAAAAATAATAATAAATAAAATAAATAAACTACAAAAATGTGTTATTAAATAAAAATATAATCTTATTCACACAACTTTCATGTGTATATAATTTATTTTATTTAGTTTAGTTTATTTTGTTTAGTTTATTTGAAGTGTAAATATTAAAAATCCAAATTTAATTTTCTTTGCAGGGATTGTACGTCTAATACATCCTTAAGGAACATCCTAAAAACTTATTGGATGTTGCTAAAAAAATTGTGTTATTATGTGCTAATTTGTATTCTGCGCGTATTTATATTTTATTCATTCACATTAATTATATAATCATCCATTTATCGAAATCGAGAGATTGCTTTCTTAGCAGAAATAGTTTAATATTTTAAAATGTAAAATCAAATAGTAAATAATAAGAGAAAGGACATGTAAAATGACAGCAAAAATGTCAGTATGACGATTGCAAAAAGAGATAATTAAAAAGATAATATGATAATAAGTTTTTTATGCTATTTGCATGAGGAGTACTAACAAATTTTTAAGTTATTTCAAACGTAAGTACGTTTAAATATATGGAATGTTACATGATGCTAATGACAAATATGTTTATGTAACCAAAAACCACCATTTTTGACACCATTTTCTCTTCTAATTACTTCAGATTGATTGGTAGTTATGCATTCTCTTAATTAATCGTCTATTTCTCTCTCTCTTTTTTTTCTCTTAGTATGGCGATCATAAAAATAATGAATAAACTACTTACTACAGACTTATTAATCTATTACTTCTTATTCAGGATTATGA